GACTGACCACAGGCCCCAGTAGTCATGTGGCAAATTTTCAGACCACAAGGAGATGGAAAGAAGTAAATGGGAAATCCAGCAGCCCTTACATTCCCGTCCACCCGCATCGATTTCATCTGTATTCATTTGATTCCAAGCAATAGAATCCCTGCTCCACCGAGCTCAACCTCCACCCAAGACCCATTTCATAGCCCTTCCTGATGGCGCATGGAACATTTGCCGAAGCACATCAGCACCTTCTAAGCTGTCATTTTAGATTACAAATCCACGGAAGAATCAGAAGAGGCCAGGAGAAGCGACCAGGGATAACTTTCTTGATGAGAGATAACATTCCTAATGGGCTTCCTCTGCCCTTCTGTGTGTTTTCTGTCTCTCCCTGGACCAGTCAGTTCAGGCTGCCCTAGCAAAACACAGCCCAACGAGTGCCTAACAACAGATGTTTGTTTCCCACTTCTGCAGGCTGCGAGTCTGAGATCTTGGTGCTGCCTGGCCACTTAGGTGGGGAGACCTCTTAGGCTTACAGGACCTGCCTTCTTATGTCCTCATGTGGCCTTTGCTTTGGTGGCCTCCCTTCTCCTAGAGCAGTGCTACATGAAGATAAAGGCCCCGTCTTGGGGCATCATTGACTCTTAATTACCTCCCTCAAGTCCCTGGGTCTGAAAACAGTCATGTGGGAAGGGGGTTGTTAAACACATGAATTTGGCGGGGAGACAGTTCAGTCTGTGACAACTTTAGATTCTCCTTTTACACCACTGGCAGCAATCCTGTATGAACCTTTCTCACTTGTGAGCTTGTGTGCCGGACAATTTAGAAAATTCTCTCAATGCCTCTGCTTTATCCTCCCTCTGTTTTTCCTGTCCTATCTCAATCCTTTTTGGAGTTCATGCAGGTGGCTTCACATTGGACTCATAATTCAATGTGGACCATTGCTCCCAGCTTCATTTCTTGCCTGGTCTCTTTTGGTATTGTTATGTTTCCAGAGCAGATTCTCCATCCACCCTGTTGTCTATGTGCTGTGAGGAAGTGCATGTCCTGAGGTGAAGAAACCCCCCCTACCAACACACCAAAGAACTGCCTCCAGGGGCTTGCCCTCATGGTCCCTTCATCCTCCTCTCTGTCCTTGCCATGTCAGCTTAGTGCCAGGCAGTAGAGGAACTCCACAGTGAACACATTCCACTGACAGGAGCATGAACTGGTTAAGCAAGCAGGACTTTGAGGACTGTGAAGTTGAACTCCAGGAAGCCCAATGATGTCATTTAGTTCAAGGTGGCCAGTGCCAGTCCCTCTACTTCCCCCAGGGGTCCATCTGGTCCACTGCACTTCCTGTGGCTGTTCCTTCGCATCAGAGATGCATCTTAGGAACTAAGGCTGCCACCAACCCTTCACCTTGTCATTCCTACCAATTGTCTTGCTAAAGCTGGAGATTAAAAGAGGAACCCCGCATGGATTTGGTGTCTATTCCTGGGCAGGTATGCCATGGCCAGCATAAAGGCTTGTGGGTACACAGCAGCCCCAAAGTAGTCCTGTGTACATGTGGGGGTGCAATTCCTAGGGGACAAGAGTCAGCCAAGCATACTTGCTCAATGATTTGATAGATGTTCTGTCTCCCTTTGCACCTCCCTTCACACCGAGGAAATGACATTAGACAGCTTAGAAAGTCTTTTCATCTCTCTGCATTAAGTTTCAGTCTTATGCTACATAGCCAACCCTTTGTTTCTTTCCTCTTCTGCAGCTTAATTGCTTATACAGAACAGTACGTGGAATATGACCCTTTGATCACGCCAGCTGAGCCGTCCAATCCCTGGATCAGTGATGACCTTGCTTTATGGGACATAGAGATGAGGTACCAAAAAATATTTTCCTGTCTGGGAATGGAAGGGATGTGCAACAACATTCTGAGATCCTGAGGTGACCTGACTGCCTATTTCAACTGAGCACGAGAACAGAGATCCTTTAGGGCATGGCCTAGCAGAAGGGATTTCACCTTCTGAGCAAGTGGAAGGGAAGATGGGGAGAGAGTTCTGGGCTTACTCCTGGTTTCTACCTTTTTAGACCTTCAGTTTGTGTGTGGTTCCTCTGTGGTCTACCTCTGATCACTCTCTGACCCTTTGGGTATCATAATGGGAACAGTTCCTTGCACTTCCTAATGCTGATTTCTGGAGGGAATCTTTCAGCCCTTCTTTTTCACAGTAGACAGCAGAAGCAATAACTACAATAACAATATCTAGCCTTTGTACTACACAATTCACATACTGCCTTCTGTGGAATCCCCTTGAACAATCATTCTCACCATGAAACATGAGGAAATGGCACTTAATCAACCTGCTCAAGATCACACAGAAAGTAGGTGCAGGTTAGCAAGTAGAATCTAGGCAGAGAGCTATTGCTAGAGTGTGGATCATTCTGCTAGTTTGGGGTGCCACCCAATAGTCCCTTTCCCATTTGAAAAGCTGGTGTGTTTACTTTACGACTGAGAAAACTGTAGCACTTGTAGCTCTGTCCTCCTGTTGTTCATTGATTTGCCCAAGCAGGCACCAGTAACATCTCCATTGTGAGACTTGTTGTTACTGTTTTTGGCATATCAAATACACCACAGGGAGCTTGCCAGGCTCTGCCATGTGGGCGGGATACTCTTGGTAGCTTGCTGGGCTCTCCAAGACGGACAGTGGAATCGAACCTGGGTCAGCTGTAAGCAAGGCAAACACCCTACCCACTGTGCTATCGCTCCAGCCCAAAACTAGAATAATTAATAAGCTCATAGATGCTTATTTTAAAAGTTCAAGATATGAACTGTCTCAAGCCAATCAGACATACATAATGAAGAACATTCTTCTTCCAACACAATCCCATTTATAGAAACTTTGTTTATAGTTATAAAGCCTTCATTTACAGTTTTTAAATGGTACCAGAGATAATCTCAAACTGTCCTCAAAGAAAAGCAAGTGCTGTACAAAAATCAACAGGGAATAGGAAGTGTGGATGGTGTGGCTGGCACTTAGTTCCAAGGTCTGAGAAGGTGTGCAGTGCCTCATGGGCCTGTATTCGTTAATTAAGAGTGCCACAAATATATTAATGCCTCTGTTTATATACATATTTTTTTTCTGTAGCACCGTAGCACAGTAGCACTGTCCTCCCATTGTTCATTGATTTGCTCGAGCAGGCACCAGTAATGTCTCTGTTGTGAGACTTGTTACTGTTTTAGGCATTTGAATACGCCACAGGGAGTTATATTTTCTAATGCCATTAAATTTTGGATATACAAATAGTTAATAAGTCCATTGGCTCTGGTTATTTAACTGTTCAGTGTTGAAATAGGGAGGATGTTCAGTGAACTAAGAAGATACCAGAGGTGTCAGAAATTTGAGGGGTTGAGAACCTTTTGACTTAGTGTCTCTATCCCCTTACATTTTTAATGTACACACAGTATCAAATTCTTCTGCAAACATGGGCTTATACATTGTCCCATAATTTTTTAAATTAATTACCAAGTTATCCTTTTTAACAGTGACACATCGTGAGCCCTTGTGCGAATAAGTTAATTTATTTAACTAATACCCAAGTCATAAATATTTTGATGTGGTGCTTTGGAGGGGGTCAATTTTTTCAAACATAGGCAGTGGTGTGAGGAACATATTTATGCATGTATCCAATTATTTCTTGAACATAAATTTCCAGGAATGGAATTGCTAGAAAGTATGCATGTTTTAACGTTAGTACAAGTAGCCAGAATTCTCTTGAGCAAAATTATAACAAACCTTTTACAAGCAATCATGTCCCATATCCTCACCAGACCAATCATTATCAAGATTTTTCTCTCTGCAAAGCTTTTAAGTTAAAATAACAATCTTGTTTTACTTTTCATCTCTTTGTTAATATATGTAGGATCTCTTCTCATGGTCACGGGAGCTTCATTTTTCTTTTGTAACTTGGCTATTTTTTTTCATTCTTTGCTTCTCCTTCTAGTGGTGTATTTTGCTTTGAATGTTGGGGTACAAAAATTACTTGGATATTTGTTTTCTATTTTTCCTAACATTTTATGTTTTGTGAATATCATCCTTTCATCGTGTTTCTATTTCTTTTTTCTGGTTGTTGTTTTATTAATTTAATTTTACATTAGTGTTTGTTGCTACAGTTTTTTTTTAAATTTTGGGGCCATACCGGACTGTGCTCAGGGGTCCATGTGGTAACAGGAATCAAATCAGAAACTCCCACATTCAAAACCCGCACTTCAAAGTAAAGTGAAACACATGATACCCTTTCGGTAACAGTATTAGACACACTGCATCTAAAACGAAAATGGGGGTGGGTGGGGGAGAGTGGAGGGGAATGTCTGCCATACAGTCAGGCTGTGGGGGGAGGGGGGTAGGAAGGCTGGTAGATAGCTGTATATCTCAGGGTGAGTCAATTTTAAAAAGTAAATAAATAAAACATGCTCTACAGCCTTTTGAGCCATTTTTCTGGCCCTAGTTTTTATTTCAATCATATTTACTTGTAAATGTTTTAATTCGAAAGGTCATTGTTTCATGCAAATAATGACACTGTGTGTAAAATAAATTTCCACCCTCCCCGCCCCCACCATATCCCATTCTTCCCCTGAGATACATTGACTTGATACATTATGTTTTATCCAAATTTTATGCAAGCACTGTGATTTCAATAATGCTAATAATAGAGTTTCAGGTATACAATATCCCATCACCACACTGATCATCAATTTCAGTGCCCCTCACCCCACTTCCTTGGCAAACTCTATTTTTTTTAATTGAATTATTATAGTTTGGGTCACATATTTATAATAGGTAAAGGTAAAGGTAAAGGCCCTCCCGTTGATCGTCGATTTGCTCGAACGGGCCCAGTAACGTCTCCATTGGAGACTTTGTTGTTACTGTGTCTGGCATATCGAATACTCTCGGTAGCTTGCCGGGCTCTCCGAGAGGGGCGGAGGAATCGAACTCGGGTCGGCCATGTTGGCCGCTTATAAGGCCAACGCCCTACCCGTTGTGCTTCGGCAGCACATATACTAAAATTGGAACAATACAGAGAAGATTAGCATGGCCCCTGCGCAAGGATGACACGCATTTATAATAGTGTTAACATTTATAGGTTTGAATTTCAGTTACCTCACCTGACTTAGTTTATTTTAGACCAATATTTTGTCTCATACTTCTCTGTCAACATTAAAAGAACAGTAGTTTGTATGTGAGTATCTTCTTCCTCGTATTTCGGACATGTCATGGGTAGAATCTTCCAATATGATCCAAGAATTTAAGTCTTTTTAAAACCTTTTAAAGTTAAATTACAGTGAGATAAACGGTTACAAAATTGTCCATGATTTAACTTGGGGGTTTTCCTTCCTTTCTGTTTATTTATAAATAAATTATTACTACTTTTTTGTTCTGTCCAAACTTTACTTAATGAAAAGGAAATACTTTTGTAGGAATTGAGGGGTTCTAAGACAAAGCAGCCATATCTATCTTCTTCTTTCTCTGAGTCTTTCCATTTTGTTGTTGGTGTTAAAATTCTTTAAATCACTCTTCCCTGGGGTCATTTTCGTTAGTGTCTGTTCTGAGATCCTTATACATAAGTAGGGTTTTCCTGTCCACATGAATCTTGGTGGGATGGTGGACATCATTTCCAAGAATTTCTGGTATTTCTTGGGCTTCTTCTAGCTTAGTGTAGTCTGTTCTGTTGTTTGGATACTCACCTTGAATCCCCCTGAAGGTGTGATACAGAAAAATGTTTAATCCTTTTCTCTCTATGTCAGTTATATCACTGAGAGTGCCATCTGGGATCATAAACCAGAGAATCAATGTCTCATTCCCCCAATCACTGCTCATGGCAGATCAGTTTTTTCATGTATCAAGAATGCGGCAGGGGGCATTGGGGTGGGGGGCGATGGGGTGAGCTTCTGGTTTTCATAAACAAAGGCTTTGACTTTATACCTTGGTCATGCTTTAGAGCTACCTGGAGATTAGCAGAACAAATATCAATGCCCAGGAGCCAAAGAGGTAGTATCAGTATTGAGGTTAGTGCTCTTGGTTTGCACAACAGCTGACTTGGGTTCAATTTTAGCACAGCATATGGCACCCCTGAGCACAGTCAGGAGTGACCCCTGAGCACAGAGCCAGGAGTCAGCCCTGAGGACGGCTAGGTATGCCCCCCCCATTAATTTAACAATGAGTAAAAGTAATAAAAAATTAAGATAAATTTAAGGAACTGAAAAGATACTGGCTAAGTCACCATCTCGTGGTGATAGGCAAAGGTGGGGTGGGGGAGTCCCTGGTTCATTTAGTGGTCAATAGACATTCCCCGGCTGATAGAAGAGGAATGAGTTGCAGACAGATCACCAGACAATAATTAACAGCCTTTATTCCCAATACCACAGGCTAGAGATAGGGGAGAGCAACTGCTAGCGAGTTAGGGGATAGTGATAGACTAGGAAACAATGCAGAGAAAGTGTTGCACAAAGGAGAAGTTGAACACAGGTGAGTATCCCTGGGAAGTTGGGGAGCCAAGGAAGTACTGCAATGGGTGAGGCAAAAGGTGGCAGGTAACTCAGTTAACATAACCACCCAGCAAGAGGAAAAGGCCTGAGTCAAACGGAACTGCTCTTAATAGAGAAGCAAATTAAGACCACAAATTATGAGGGTACAGGGCCCCTTTTGGGACTGTCCTTTGTCTTTGAGGCAATGTCTCCTAAGCTCTCTCACCTCAGGAGAATCCTGGATGTGTAATCAACAGGGCAGCATTGCCCAGAAGGTTCAGGAGCATTGCCAAAGAAAGATCCAATAAGATGATACAGCAGGTTGGTCTCTTACCTTGCATGCAGCCAGGCCGGGTTCAATCCTCAGCATTCCATATGGTCCCCTGAACCCTATCCAGGAAATGATCCCTGAGCACAGAACCAGGAGTACACTCTGATTACTGCTGAACATGACTCAAAAACCAAAACAAACAAAAAGAAAGTATCAGTTCCCAGTCCCCTCCCCTGGCCTTTAAACCAGAATTCCTGGGCGCAGTTTGCTGGTGTTTGTGACTCAATGCAGCCCTTGTCAGGAGAACATGCAGATGGCATAGTTGGTGAGGGATCCCCTCAGCGATTGTGAGTTCCCTAGTCTCTAACCCTAGGATTCATCATAATCACCTAGGGGCTCATGAAAAACTACAGCTGCCTTGTGGTAGTTCTGGGCACCTATTTAAAAGAAAGGATTTAAAAAAAAAAAAAACCTTTTATGCCATTCTGAGACCCAGCAGTTTGGAAAGTCTTGGTGTGATTCACCACTGTACCAGCCTTGTAAACTCCACTTCCACCCCGGCTTTCCCTGGAACACTTCATGGGGCCAGAAGGTTTCCCCTGAGCATAATGCTGGGCTCGCGTTTGGGATCCCGAGGAACTATTATAGTCCAAGATGAGAGCCCAGTGCTCTCTGAGATGGAGAGGAGGAGCTCTGGGGGTCCAGGGCTGGAGGTTGAGCATCCCCATGGCCAGGTGCTCTACTCTGGCTTTCTCAGGACTGAGGGTGTTTCTGAACTTTTTAAGTTCCCTCTGCTGATAGTCCTACCTTCTCCCTTCTGCCGTGGGCTCTCCAGAGAGTCCATTAGCTCTGCAGAAGGCAGTGAGAAGTAACATGCACACCAGAACATTTAGAAGTCTCCTGCTTTGCTGAAATTTTCTTTCCTCTAGACCTGCTACTCCAATTGGGTACGCAGAGGCAACCCCTCTGGGTGTTGTGGTGGGATGCCCATGTGAGCAATGGGGGGTAGGCAGCCTTGAATACCTGCATCCTCTAGCTCTGAGTTTCTTTCCTTTGCTCCCTGTCCAATGCCTGCCACTTGCCTCTCTTCCTGTCCTACTTCTTAGACCCTGGGGTTTCCCCAGGCTTGTGTTGGGGAAACCTTTTTTCTCTGGTGACTCCCCAGGAATTCTGTGATGCTCCCCATCATCTTGGCCACAGATTCAGTCCCTCAGTTTCTTGCCTTCACAAAAGTCATCAGTGTTTTTCTTCTGCTAATTGGATCTGTTTTTGCATCTATAGACCATGAACATGACACTCTATCACCATCCTTTCCACAAAACTCTTTCCTGAAACACTCACTCCCCTTTCCCAAAACATTCCCCTAAACCTTCTCAGGCAGGCTTTTCTCATCACTCTGATCTCCCTCACCATTAGTTTCCCTCCCTCCAAAAGGCTGTCTGTGGCCTCTTGGCCCATGGTGGTTGCTCTATTCATTCTGTCATTCTGATATACATCCTTTCTGCCCCTCAACCCATGTTCTCTCTATAAATAAAATTGTAAACTATTTTATCATCTAGACCTGGCTCTGGCACACAGGAGGTACTCCAAAAGCATAGGTTGGAAAACATTAGCATGCCCATAATCACTGTGGCACTTAGTACAATAGGCAGGATGCAGAAACAATTCAAGTGTCCAATTATGGAAAAATGATTCAAGAAGTTGTGATATAGGAGTCAAAGAGATAGTACAGAAGGTAGAGCACTTGCCTTGAATATGGCCAACCCAGCTTTGGTCCCTGGCACCACAGATGGTCCCCTGCTCCTGCAAGGAGTAATCCCTGATCATACAGTCAGGAGTAAGAACTGAATACCACTACTGTGCAATGGGATACTAAGTAGCTTTAGGAAAAGATTAAATCACACATCTGCCACACTGCTGCCACATGGATGCCATAACAGGGCATCATGTTAAGTGAAATAAATCAGAGGGAGAAGAAAACTACAGAATGATCTCACTCATGCGTGGTACATAGAGAATAAAAATAAGAAAATAGACTGTACTGAATAATGACAAATCTTTGACATTGGGATATAGAACCAATTAACAAAAAGGGTGGAAAAGGAGTGGAAGACTAGAAGAAATATAGGCAATGGTAGATGATCATGGACACTTGTGGTGGTGGTGGTGGTGATGGTGGTGGTATGCTGTAAGTTTATATATCAGGGTCAGGGTCACAGTCCTCCTGTTGTTCATCGATTTGCTCGAGCGGGCCCAGTAACGTCTCATTGGAGACTTGTTGTTACTGTGTTTGGCATATCGAATACATCACGGGTAGCTTGCCAGGCTCTGCCATGCGGGCGAGATACTCTCGGTAGCTTGCCAGGCTCTCCGAGTGAGGCGGAGGAATCGAACTCGGGTCGGCCATGTTGGCTGCGTGCAAGGCAAACGCCCTACCGCTGTGCTATCGCTCCAGCCCTTAAGTTTATATATATCAATTTCATATATTTTAACAGTTACAACTCCTAAACTATAATAAAATAAAATTAGAAAAGCATGGGCTAATAGCAGATAAATGAAGAGGACATTATCTCTGAGCATTTCCCTGATATTTAGGAATAGGGAGTTAAGAGCATGCTCCCCAGGTCAACTATGGGATTGCTTCATTCTGGAAGTCAGCAGACAGGTATGTGGGGTCTGAACTGCAGCTTTGTCTCAGCCTAGCAGCGCTAACCTCCTAGGGAGTGCCACGTGCCCTTAGAACTAGTACTGCAGCTCTGACTGCTCAGGCGTTTTCCCTTCATTTGATGCTCACCCTTTTTAATGTCCTGTACACCTTCAAGCAGAATCAGGTCACTCAGATACAAATGCAGTGTAGCCAAGCTTGGAGGCCCTGTTTCTTCTCCCAGTAGGACACCCTACTCTGCTTCGGTGCTGGCGGTGGTGGTAGGAACCTGTGTCTGAAGGGGCACAGAGCCCAGCATCAGTGCCAACATCCAGCTTCAGTCTGGACACGGTTCCTGTCCATGAAACAGAGTTTGGCGAGGACAAGTAAGACAATAAAATGGCATCTTTTCTCCATTTCAATTAGTTCAGCAAACACCTACTTGGCACCTAGTATGTGCTGGGTTCCCAGCAATGTCTCCCAGCCCTACCACATCCTGTCCACCCATCTGGCCTCGGGGACCCTCCTCTGGGGCAGAGGACTCTAAGAAGTCACAGCCAGGCCCTTGCGCAGGAAGGAGTGAAGGCAGAAGTTGGAACAATAGGGGAGGAGGGTTGTGTTGAGCCACATGAGAAGGGAAGAATATGTTTGTTCCTGAAAAGGCAGTAAAGAGTGAGGAAGGGGTAAGGAGCAGGTTCTGAGAG